TGATTATGATTATTATGATGATGATAATTATGATATAATTATGTTGATGATGATTATGATATGATTATGATTATGATATTATTATTATCATGATGATTATGATTATGATGAACAGTGTGCATAGTAGAATTAGACTGGAAATAGTGCAAGAACCATGTGGCTTTGTTAAAGACACTAGAACAAGAAATACAATGTTTATGATCAGAATGCTACCAGACTGAGCAATACAAATTCAGAAGGACATGTTTCTTAAACTATATGGTAAATGTTCTGATGTACTATCCTCAATGGAACCTAGACTCTCAATTTAAGCACATTACTAGATTTGTGGCAAGATCTCATTATTTTAGAATCGAAATAGCTAGATCTAATTCTATGCTAACAATTTCATTTCTCACACTTCTTGCTTGTGGAACTCTCTTCTAGTTTCTTGCTGTCCAGTTAACTTTGATATTCAATAATTTAAAAGTAATGTCAATCATTATCCTCTGTCCTCTTAAATTCTGTTCTTTTATTGTTCCTGCTACTTAATAATGATTTTTTCTTATAATCTTTCACACTCAGTAACCATCTGCATATTAGTGACTTTCTTGCTATGACATTGCTGATAGAATGTTTAAGTCACTTGGATGAACCAGAATTTGTCTAGACTTGGATCTGATGTTTTGCAGCCCAGGCTAGTCCTAAAAAATTGAAAGACAGCCAGGTAAGAGGGGGAGAAAATGAAATAACTGACCTCTTTCTAGCTTCAGCAGGTTGTGAAGCTATAATGAAAATCTTTGTTATGATATACCCCAAACAACTGAAGAATTTGACAACTGATCACATGTCATAGAAGAACACAATACAAGGGTTACCTTGCTTGGGATGAAATTTAAAACAAACTATTTAATAAGGTATAATACAAAGATCTATTTGAACTGCTAGGAAAACTCGATTTATTTGGTAAAGATATTAGAGTAATCCAGAATTTATACTGGGAGAGAACCACCTGCACATGGATAGAAAATGAATTGAGCAAGTACACAATGAAAAAAGAGGTATTGTATCACCAGATTTATTTAACTCATACAGTTAGATGATCTTAACAGAGTTGAAAGTTCTGCTAGGATTTATTATTGGAGAGTACAGTCTCCGTAGCATAAGATATGTAGATGTGACTGTATTTATAGCACTAGCAGACACAGAAAGAAAACGGTAAGTACTTCTAGACAAGGTAGTTGTAGTGGATTGGTAAACAGGATTTGGATATGCTAAGTAGAAGAGATATAAAGAGTATAGTGAACTCAGAGACAGGCAGGTTTGGTTTGGTTTGGTTAGTTTTATGGCATATCAACATCTCAATGGGTTATTTAATGCCAACAACATTTTTGTTGCTGGTAATATTTTTTCCTTCATAAATCTATTTTTGGTAATATTTTTTTCTTCAAAAACGTATTGCTGGTAATAATTTTTTTAAAAAAGTATTTCTGGTATTAAAATCTATTTTTACACTTTCATAATGTTTTGACCCCAGTTTGGGAGTTAACTATTTGCCCATAGCTGGGACTCTAAGAGGTACTAACAGGGTGGACATGGGAACACCAGCAATTAAGAGGTGGTTCCACGCTCCTCAAAACCTCCTGATTAGAGGCCTTCCTGTTGGACGTAGTTTATCGTCTTACCCAGGATGTGGATGTAGTTTATTGTCATACCCAGGATGGCAGAAACAGGCAGAAATTTACTACTGAGCACATGCTGTAGAACAACACAACACACTAAAACAATATGGCATCACCAATAGGATATTTAAGTTGCTTGGATGAACTAGAATTTGTCAAGATCCAGTGTTTTGCAGCCCAGGCTAGGGCTAAGAAACTGAAAAACAACCAGGCAAGAGGTTTTAAAAGAAGTTTGTGAGCAATGAAAGGCATGAAAACTCTTCATTTCAGGGAGGTGTAGTGGATTGCTAAATAGGATTGTACCTATTTTTATGTGTTACATAGAAGAGAAATAAAGTGTATAGTAAAGTAAGAAACAAAGGAAGTAGACTAATGATCCAAGAACAACACAATACGTACAACAATAGTAAATGAAAGTTAGAAGAAATGACTATCAATTCTAAAGAGGTAGAATGTATGATCATTAGAAAAAGGAACAGCCCAATATATGAGCCACAGATTAAAGATGGAAGTGTTTTAACAGATTATGATAAATATGATACAGAAATCTGCAGGTACATGGGAATAGTGAAAGATACCTTTAAGTGCTGTACTAGAGTGGCAGTTAAGTTTCATCAGTTGAAATATTTAGATATAACAATAAGTTTTATACTAATAGTTTCTTCTCTTACACTTCTCGCTTGTGGAACTCTTTTCTGTTTTTTCACTTTCCAGTCAACTTTGATTTTCAAAAATTTAAATGCAATGTCAATTGTTATCTTCAGTCTTCTTAATTCCTGTTCTTTTATTGTTCTTACTTCTTAATTATCTTTTTACTCATGTTCTCTAAGATTCAGTAACATTTTACATCTTAGTGGCTTTATTGCCTTGATTGGAGTGAAATGATTAAAAAATAATAACGAGGGACAACCCAAGAGAGAAACTGCAAATTAGAAATATCAAAATAATAAGTTCAGAAATTTTAAATTTGGAAAATGTTATAAAAGACAATGGAAAATGAGACACAGAAATTTGAAGATTCATTGAAACTGTAAATGATGACTTCCCTAAAATAAGCAAAATATTAAGAAGATAAAATAAGCAAAAGATGACTTCTATAAAATAAGCAAAATATGACTTCCATAAATAAGCAAAAATATTAAGGAGATGACTTCCATAAAATAAGCAAAATATGACTTCCATAAATAAGCAAAATATTAAAAAGATGACTTCCATAAAATAAGCAAAAAGAGGACTTCTATAAAAGAAGCAAAATATGACTTCCATAAAATAAGCAAAATATTAAGATGACTTCCATAAAATAAGCAAAAGATGACTTCCATAAAATAAGCAAAATATTGACTTCCATAAAATAAGCAAAATATTAAACTGACTTCCATAAAATAAGCAAAAGATGACTTCCATAAAATAAGCAAAAGATGACTTCTATAAAATAAGCAAAAGATGACTTCTATAAAATAAGCAAAATATTAAAGAAATGATTCATATAAAATGATCAAAATGTTAACAAGAATTTAATTAGAAGCAAATAAAAGTGCTCTGAACTTTTATATCAATCCCTCTATATGGCAGTAAATGCTGGACAATTTCCTCACAGATGAAAAGAAGACATGAGATAACACAGATGTGATTCTACAGAAGCATACTAAGAATAAAGGATGGAAATTTTAAGGAAAATGAGAATTAAAAGCACAATTTTTGAAATTTTGAGGGACACTTAAAGAAGAAAGGGGTTTTGGAGAATTTAATACTTACAGGACAGATTGAATGCAAAAGAGGCAGTAGTAACATAACTAACTTGTGTAAGACAAACATTGCTAAGAGCTACAAAAGATAGGAAGTTGTGGAGAGCCATGATCAACCTACCTAACAAGCTTGTGTAAATAGATGGCAGAACAAGGACTGGGAGTGATAGTAAAAAGATAAATATTGCTAAGAGCTACAAAGGATAGGAAGTTGTGGAGAACCATGATCAACCTACCTAACAAGCTTGTGTAAATAGATGGCAGAACAAGGACTGGGAGTGATAGTAAAAAGATAAATATTGCTAAGAGCTACAAAGGATAGGAAGTTGTGGAGAACCATGATCAACCTACCTAACAAGCTTGTGTAAAATAGATGGCAGAACAAGGACTGGGAGTGATAGGTAAAAGATAAATATTGCTAAGAGCTACAAAGGATAGGAAGTTGTGGAGAACCATGATCAACCTACCTAAAAGCTTTGTGTAAATAGATGGCAGAACAAGGACTGGGAGTGATAGTAAAAAGATAAATATTGCTAAGAGCTACAAAGGATAGGAAGTTGTGGAGAACCATGATCAACCTACCTAACAAGCTTGTGTAAATAGATGGCAGAACAAGGACTGGGAGTGATAGTAAAAAGATAAATATTGCTAAGAGCTACAAAGGATAGGAAGTTGTGGAGAGCCATGCCCAATCTACCTAACAAGCTTGTGTAAATAGATGGCAGAACAGGGACTGGGAGTGATAGTAAAAAGATAAATATTGCTAAGAGCTACAAAGGATAGGAAGTTGTGGAGAGCCATGCCCAATCTACCTAACAAGTTTGTGTAAATAGATGGCAGAACAAGGACTGGGAGTGATAGTAAAAAGATAAATATTGCTAAGAGCTACAAAGGATAGGAAGTTGTGGAGAACCATGATCAACCTACCTAACAAGCTTGTGTAAATAGATGGCAGAACAAGGACTGGGAGGTGATAGTAGTAAAAAGATAAAATTGCTAAGAGCTACAAAGGATAGGAAGTTGTGGAGAACCATGATCAACCTACCTAACAAGCTTGTGTAAATAGATGGCAGAACAAGGACTGGAGTGATAGTAAAAGATAAATATTGCTAAGAGCTACAAAGGATGGGAAGTTGTGGAGAGCCATGCCCAATCTACCTAACAAGCTTGTGTAAATAGATGGCAGAACAGGGACTGGGGTGATAGTAAAAGATAAATATTGCTAAGAGCTACAAAAGATGGGAAGTTGTGGAGAGCCATGATCAACCTACCTAAACAAGCTTGTGTAAATGGATGGCAGAACAAGGACTGGGAGTGATAGTAAAAAGATAAATATTGCTAAGAGCTACAAAGGATAGGAAGTTGTGGAGAGCCATGATCAACCTACCTAACAAGCTTGTGTAAATAGATGGCAGAACAAGGACTGGGAGTGATAGTAAAAAGATAAATATTGCTAAGAGCTACAAAGTATAATGAACGTGTGTAAATGTATGACAGAACAGGGTGTAGAAGGAATAGTAACGGGAGAGACATTGCTAAGTGCTACAATGGATAGGAACTCGTGGAGAGTTATGATCGCCTACATCCTGAAGAGTTACAGCACAAAAAAAGATAAAACAGAAGAGATAAATGGAGAAATAAGTAAGGACAGAAGATTAGAAATAGACACAGAAATTTTTTTAAAGAGACTGAGAGAAATAGAAGTATGAGAAAATTGAGTGTGAGATAGATAGATAGATAGATAGATAGATAGAGAGAGAGAGAGAGAGAGAGAGAGAGAGAGAGAGAGAGAAAGACGAAGCAAAAGAGATGTGGTTTTGAAAAGAGAGATAGATAAGTATACATAGACTAATAGAAGGAGAGAAAGAATTTACAGTGTAACCCGGATATAAGAGACCCGGATATAAGAGAAACCCGGATATAAAAGAGAGATTTTCTCTGGTCTCAAATTAGAGCCTGTGTTAATGTATATAAAATAGACCAAACCCGGATATAAGAGAAACCCGGATATAAGAGACTTCTTCTCCGGTCCCGACAACTCTCTAATATCCGGGTTACACTGTAATTATAAGCAAATCAAAAGAGTGATAATTTTGGAAAATCTATGAAAGATAGATAGATAGATAGAGAGAGAGAGAGAGAGAGAGACTAATCTCTCTCTCTCTCTCTTTGATATATATGCATATATACGTGTGTGTGTGTGTATTTATATGATAAAATTATAATTATATATATATATATATATATAATATAAAATATTTGAAATAAATTTATTCAAATAAGAGACCCCTTGAAAAATGGATAATTCCAAGAAACTTCGAAGTCGGGGAAATAACAGTAAGAATTGATATGAACAATGACAGTGAGTTTTCTGTATAAGGCATGCTATATTTATGGATTTATGGGTAAAAGTGCTCACTGTCAAGAATAGAGCATGTAATTATTACATTTATTACATTGTAATAAATATAAAAGTGGACACTGAGGTCAACATTGAGTAGCGGAAGCCTGTTTCATGCATGAACGCAATCCTCAGACCTGAAAATTGAACGAAACCTTTTTGATAGATAGATAATTAGATAGATAAAAAAATTGAAAAGACTTATCTTTCCGACTTCAGCTTTCGTATACACTGCTTGTCAGGGTCAGATAAAGTCAATTGAATTCATTAACATATTTTTTAATCTACGCTACATAAAAACTCTAATTACTGATTACAAAGAAATTTTAAAAACCTAAAAGTGTGACAAGAGCTGAATTAATTTTAAGAGACGTTAACATGACAACCTTTGAATTTCACCGTTAAAATTTGTGAGTGAGTGTGTGTGCGTGCGTGCGTGTGTGTGTGTGTGTGTGTGTGTAAAAAATCTTAGGAAAATAAACTCAGTACATGCTAACAAGGAGGGTTCATACTACAAAAAATATTATACACATTTAATTATTAAGCGAAACATCGTGATATTAAAATTATCGATTCTTTAGTTTCTTTATATAAAAAATTAAAATTTAATTTTTTAGATTTAAAAACGCTAAGTTAAGTATCGAATCCCAACAAATTACAAACATGTTCTATACTAAAAAATTTTTTAAACATGACAATATTTAATATTAAAGGTATTTATTTACGAAAAGATTTTTAACGAAATAAACTTGGAAAATGTTATTAAAAATCATATAGTTTCAAATTTCAATTATAAATATTTACCCTGACCTTCCTCATTGCGACGGGATGTGGCACAAGGCCGGGTTTAATGTGGGGGACCCGAACGCGTACACTCGGGCCAAGAACAAAAAGCCCCCGTAACGGTCGGTTGCGCTGGTCTCGGTGCGAGCACCGATCCCTCTGTCTAGTGCTATGCGAGGGTGCAGCCTTGGGCATCTGTTCCCCAGGGCTGGGCACCTAACAGCGTGATTTTCCTCAGTTGCGCTTCTGTTCTCCGACGGATTCTACAACTGAATCGCACTCTGCACGACAGCGACAGAGATGCATTAATTTAAATTATAGCACGTTTAAATTGTCGTAATATTAAAAAAAAATAGTTTTAACCTGTGAAAATTTCATAGTTTTCCTATTTGAATTTTTTTCATGAATCCTTAATTCGTAAGTTAATGATTGAATAAAAAACACGTGGCGAGTTCTACGACAATAAAATAACCGTAGAAATTTCCGTATCACGTCATTAAATATCTGAGATGAACAACTTTAACAAAAATATCGCAATGACAATCATCGAATGCTAGTCGTTATTTTAAGAAATGGGTCCAAATGAAAAGATTTGAAATTGGTGAATTCTTCCATTTCACTGAAACAGCCATTAAACACTTTTATTGCATTTTTTTTCTTTCTTTGTCTCACTGAAACCGAGGAGTGTTCCTTCGCTTTGCACGCAATCAAAACGGAATAATGCCTTTTCTTTATTAATAATTAAGAAGCATTATAAATAAAAAAAAAAAATAAAGAAAATATCAACACTCAGTAATATCAGCTATGAACATGGCCATAATGTGCTGACCGTGTTTGGAAAATAAAACATTCCTATAAATATACATAACACAGCCGACACATTCAATTAAAAGTAAAAAAAATCATTCTTGATAATGGCTAAAAGTATTGCTGAATGTGCTTGAACATACAGAACATTCAGACAATTTCTTTATAACTTATGTCCAGAAAAGAAGCAAATTATAAGAACACATTAAGAATTAAATAGAAAACTTAATCGGAGTACCTGGTCAGTTGTTTTCAATGAAACTTATATATATATATATATATATATTAGTAATAATCTTATAAATATAAGAAATTATACTCGTCCGGAAAACCTTCGGTGTCTTGATTTGCAAATAAACAAACCAATACCAAAGGGGAAAAAAAAGGTTCCAAAAAAGAAAGAACAAAGAACATGTACGTCAGCCGAAGACAATCGTCTAGCATCCAAGCCCAGAGTCCAAAGAAAAAAAAACCAATACGAGTAAGTGAAATAACTAAATAAATTGCACAATACGCTAAGTAGAGCAAACCTAATTAAACCTAAAAGAAAATATGGTACCAAGGTTTCACCTACGCGAATCATCAGGAAGGCCGGCTATATATAGCGTGTGTATATATATATATATATATATATATATATATATATATATATATATATATATATATATCGGCCTTTCCTGACGATCCGTGTAGGTGAAACCTTGGTAGGTTTTTCGGGCTCTTTATATATATATATATATATATATATATATATATATATATATATATATATACGTCTCATTGAATAATTTTGACACGTTTTGTCTACTTATTTTCAATAGGATCCTTTTATATTCACGGACAAGCTTTTTTAGTATCCTTATTTTGTCTTAGTAAAAAGAAGTACCCTTATGATGGCACTGTGCTAATGCCGAAAGTACTCGGAATAAGTTAATATGTATCAACATGGTAATTTTCTCTATTCCTTTAATAAGATTGTCCGGGAATATGAGAGGATCCTATTGAAAATAGATAGACAAAATTTGTCTAAATTATTAATTGTGACATGTCTTAACGAAAACTTAATGAAAACATGCTGGCAAAATATACGATATATATATATATATATATATATATATATATATATATATATAGAGAGAGAGAGAGAGAGAGAGAGAGAGAGAGTGGGATGAAAGAAAAAAGCAGGTCATGCCTAGTAGATGGTCAAGAGAAAAGTCTGGTAAATTGTGAAAAGCAGGACGTGCCTGGTAGGTAGATATTCTATGTGCTGCTTCTTCAGGACATAGGTGATCATAGCTCTCTACAACTTTCTAACTTGTATGCCTCTTCTGGCACCCGTTTACACAAGCTAGTCAAGTAAGTGGCTCACTGTCTTCCCCTGTCTCGCTTGCCTTCAAATGCCCTGTGAGAGTAAAGTTTCCAAGCCCATCTTTCTCATTATTAAGGAATGTATTTTCCTGGTTTTGAGTGTAAGTGTTCTTTTTGTTGCCATCTTTTAAGACTTTTTTTGTTGATTACTCGCTCCATTCTATGAAATTCTCAATAATCCTCTGTAGTACCACATTTCTGTTGCGTCTTGTTTTTTCCTTGTCCGTGGGAAGATTGTCCAACATTCTCTGCCATACAAGAGGATGGATATCACATAGAAATCCACCACTATTTTTTTTTTGTTTCTAAAGTTTTTCCATTTCCCAAAACCTTTTATAGCTTTTGGACTGCTTTTTTTTTTCGCAAGTCCAATGCGTATTCGGATCCTAGTGTCGCATTTTCCATTTTCTGTTAAAACACTTCCTAGTTATTTGAATTTTTGCACCTGTTTGATGCTTACATCTCCAATTTGTAACTTTAATCTTGGGCTTTATCTCATGCTGATGACCATATTCTCTGTTCTTTGACAGTTGATGGATAGTTCTTTTTTCTCATTTTCTTCTACCATCCTGTCCAGAAGGTTCTGTAGTTTCCTTTCCGAGTAGGCAATCAACACATTGTCATCTGCGTATCTTATATTGTTAAGATTACGTTCATCTATAATAAATCATGTTAGGGTCTACAGTTCCTTTAGGATAATGTCGCTGTAGAGATTGAATAAATCTGTGGAGAAGACGCATCCTTGTCTCATGCCTCTTCCTATTCTTTTGTGTTGTTACTCAATTCATTTTCTATGTCGTTTGCTTCCAGTATAAGTTCTGGATTATTCTAATATCCTTTCCAAATAGATCGAGTTTTCCTAACAGTTTAAATAGATCCTTGTTCCGTGCTTTGTCAAATGCTTTTGCATAACCTATAAAACACAAGTGCATATCCTTCTGCATTTCTATTGCTCTATCTCTCTGATATCATTCTAAACCTGTTTGATGTTTATATCTCCAATGTGTAACTTTCATCTTGTGGTTTATCTCATGCTGATGACCATACTTTCTGTCTTCTCACAATTGATGGTTAGTCCCCTTTTCTCGCTTTCTTCAACTACGCTATAGTTTTCTTTCCAAATCGGCCACCAACAAAATGCATATCTTATATTTACCAATAATAAGTCCTGGTAATGTCTCTAGTTCCCTTAGGATAGCACCGCTGTAGAGGTTGAATATATCTGGAGAGAAGACCCATCCTTGTCTCATGCCCCTTTCTATTCTTTTATATAGCTACTCAATTTATTTTCTATCCGGTTTGCAGGCAGTGTACTCCCAGTATAATTTCTGGATTATTCTAACACATTTTCTAAATGGATCTAGGTTCCTCAGTAATTCACATAGATCCTTGTGCCATATTTTGTCAAATGCTTTTGCGGCCTGGTAAATAGTAAAAAACAGAGCGTGCCAGGAAGATCATCAAGAGAAAACCACGCCTGGTAAATTGTCGAAAGCAGGACATGCTTGGTAGATCGTCAAGAGAAAATCACGCCTGATAAATTGTGAAAATCAAGGTATGCCTAGTACATTGTCAAGAGCTGGTCACGTCTGGTAAATTGGGAAAATCAGGTCATGTCTGGTAGATCGTCGATTGCAAGTCACGTCTGGTAAATTGGGAAAATCAGGTCATGTCTGGTAGATCGTCGATTGCAAGTCACGTCTGGTAAATTGGGATAAGTGGGGCATGCGTAGCTGGGTTAGAAAAGATCACGCCTGGTAAATTGTGAAAAACAGGGCATACCGGATAAATCATGAAGAGTGGGTGACGCCTGGTAAATTGTGAAAATCAGAGCATGCCTGATTGATCGTTTAGAAATAAAATCACGCCTGGTAAATTCTCAAAAGCAGTGCATACCTGGTAAATCGTCAAGGGAAAACCATGTCTAGTAAATTGGGATAAGCTGGGTATGCCTAGTGGATAATCAAAAGAAAGTCATGTTTGGTAAATTGTCGAATGCAGGCCATACCTGGTAAATTTTCAGGACTAGATAAAACTATGAGGATCATTATACTTCGAAATTAGATTACTCAAGATAGGGAATTTGCTCAAATCTGAGGTAGTTAGAAACAAATTTTAAAGTGCAGTTGGTAGATTGCTAACAGCCAGTTATCTGAGATAGATGCAGTATTAATAGCATATTGTGACAGAGATTCTAGTTTTCAGCACATTGATGTATGATATTAATAACACCTTGATAGGGTGATGGCTAAGTTATCAGTACACTGATGTAGATGTAATATTAATAACACTTTGACAGTGAGATGGCTTGTTAACGTAGAGGGGGTGGAGAGAGAGAGAGAGAGAGAGAGAGAGAGAGAGTGTGTGTGATCAAATCAAGAAAGAAAGAAATTACTATTAATTACCAGCACACTGAGAGTATAAACTGGGGAAGGCTGACATATCAGCAAGCTCAGATTCATTGAGAGCGACAAAAAGGCATCGGTACACTAAAAAGACAAGACACTAAGTTACTAGTTCACCGAGACGGACAGGCAATATAAAAATAGATTTTATTTGTTCAATTTGATAGATGATTAATCACTATAGTGCGGCAAACTAGTTGCCTTGTGTGCAAGAAAATGAGATATAGTCTAGGAAAAATATATTGAGAGAGAGAGAGAGAGAGAGAGAGAGAGAGAGAATTAGGAAGTGAATATTAGTGTATTTGGGTATCAATCCTTTTTTTTTATACATGTAGTTTCGCCCAACATGACGAACGAGAAGTATTTTATAATTTTTTTTATTTATTCAGTTTTTCTAGTATCCTTAAAAAGTTTTTCTTTTATAAGGACTTGAAGAATAGTGTGTGTGTATCTAAGTGAATGTCAGTAAAAAAAAAAAAATTAAATAGTTAAAAGGTCACAAAAATGACCCTTGAAAAGTGAATGAAAGTGTATTTGAATTTTTTATTTAATTTGAGAGCGAGAGAGAGAGAGAGAGAGAGAGAGAGAGAGAGAATGAAATGCAATGCAATGAGGGGAAAACGTAAAGGCGTGGTACTGTGGAAAATGTAAAACAAATGAATATTTCGGAAACAGGCAAAGAAATCTGTTAGTGTTACGCCTCTGTTGCAGAATTTTAAAACCACGGATTGTGAAGAAGAAAAAGGAAAAATATCGGATAGAGAAACAAATAATTTTGATAAGTTAAAAAAAAAGTAATTACAAACAGAGATTAAATACCAGAGAAAATAAATAAAACAGTAATCAGTGTGTAATCTTAAAAGAAAAATGTGAAAAAAATTAATAGAAATAATGAAGAGAAAAAAAAAAAACTAGTCTAAAAGCAAGTGTGTTAGTTAGTGTAACTTATATCGTACGCAAAGTTGTTAGGAAAAAAGAAAAAAAAATGTAACGAAGAACTCGTAAAAAAAGCTTTTAAAAAGTGTTAAAAAATTAAAGCTGGAAAAATGAATGAATGAATTTAATTTCTGCAAATTTTTGTGAAATAGGAAACACTAGTTTCGTACTGAATAAAAAAAAAGATTAAAAAGGACATCACACACAGTAAAAAAAAAAAAAAACTATATTAAAAGAGGAGCTGATTATTTGTCCCTCCTACAGTGTGCGTCTGACTGCATTCTATGCGTATGTCTGTGTGTTGTGTGTGAGTAAAACTAAAAAATGTGCTTCTTGTCGCATTTCGCGCGCGTTCTCTCTCTCTCTTTCTTTCTCTTTCTCTCTCTCTCTCTTACACACACACACACACACACACACAATTTGAAATAAAACTTTGGAAACATTTCCTTCCCACTCAGTCTGGACAACACCTGCCCTGAGAAATAAAATCATGGTTGAAAACAAAAAATAAATCAATAAAATAAAATAAATCCATAAATCAATAAGAAAATAAAATATTTTATTGAAGTTTTCGCAAATTATTCGGCAAATAAAAAAATGTTAATTTAAAATTTTACTTCTTATCTTTTTTTTTTTTCATTTTGTACGAATATTTTTAGATCAATCAGTGAATTAATTTTTTTTTTTTAATTGTGTATATATTTAAATTTAATACACACACAATATAAATGAAATTGGGAATGAGCATCTATGTCGTAGCGGCGAATTTCTTTTACTGTTTGGCAACAAATCCTGAGTAACAGGTCATGTGAAGCTTTTTTTTATTTTTTTTTATTGACTCCTGTATTTATTTTAAACATAATAACTGACATTTCTAATAAACAAGTAATATTTTAAAATTTAAATGAACAAACAATTTAGCCTGGAAATCGATCATTTTGCCATAAAGGAATTTTTCTGCGAGTATTTTTCATCAATAAATTAGAAATGTCTGGAGACCAACGTAAAAAAACGTAAAAATTGGAAATCATAAATCTAAAAAGTCTAAAAAAACTTATCAATCAATTAGGCAAAAACTAAAATGAAAAAAAAAAAAAAAGAATCAACAGTAGAAGAAGCGAATTAAAAATTAACCACTTGTAGAAAGTAGAGACGAACTGAGAGAAAATAAAAATAAAACAAAACAAAAAGAAAGAAAAATAACCTGTGTAAGAATAAAAGAGAAATATTCGAAATTAAAATAAAAATAAATATTATCTGGTCAAAAATTCTGCATTTGTCAAATTGCCGTGTATAAAAATCTTTTTTAAAAATATAAAAAAAATAAGGTAAAAATAATTATTTTAAGTGGTGTATACAGTAAAAATAGTCAAGCCTAATCTAGTAGTGACCAAGTTTCGAATTCAGTTATTCTTCTTCTAGACAAGTTGCTAACCAAAGCTAAAGAGCCCAGTCTACCCTATTATTTAAACTCGGAAGAGACGAAATAGATTCATAAAAATAAATAAACAAGTAAATGATATGTCTATATATTCATATAGGCAAATAAAAAAAATGCAAATAATGAATGAAAATAGTACGGATATGTAATAAATAGGTGTACGAGCATGGATGTAAATAAATCGGTACTATTGTTTTATAACTGTACGAGACAAACGTTACCTTGCAAAAAAAGAAAAGAAAAAAAGGCAGGTCGGACGGAACTCAATGCGCATGCGTGCTCACTGTTAACGAAAACATGGCATCCCGACTTTTCCGACGGACTTTCTCAGCTTTTCTTACCAGCACTTTCTGCCGGGGACGTGGTCTAACTAACGGATGCCATTCAAACAGAATGGTTTTAAAGACTGTCCCCTTGGTGCCTACCCTGGGGGTCATCGGTTGGTTGATGTGGCGAGAAAAGAACGGCGAAACGGCGGTCTGTGTGGCTGAGTGTAGTGCGAAAAAAAACGATACAACAACACCGATTCCCGTCTCTTCGACTTCTGCTCAGGTAAGTCGGGGATTGTGACGGAGAAATTTACGATAAAGTGTTGTGCTGGTTAAAATCGTGACTGTCGTTTCGGGACGAGGGCAAGGGAGAGGGAAAGGTTTGTTGTTAGTTGAGGAAACTGAGCGGCAAGAAGCAAAAATTTCCATTTTAGGTGTTGACTCTTCAGCATGTAAGCGAAGAAGACGTATGATAAAGATAGAGATGCTCCTTTTTTATGTTTTTGTTTACTTATAGTAAGTATATACACACACTATGCGTACCTGTGTTTCTAACACTATTACAAAAGTGTATGCGTATGCGTGTTTAAAATTAAATCGTATGACGAGGAAATAGCTAATCTTTGTTGTGTTCAATCGGCCATACTTATGATTTTCATTTTTCCAGTATTACACATCTACCAGTACCAATAAAGTTCAAATGAACTAAAAACTGTAAGTCTTCTTACACAAGAATACAGGTTTACTACATGACTGGATAAACATTTAAACACTTAAAAAATAAAATAGCATGCAAAAATTATACATTTGTGAAGTGAGTTAGTAGTTTATTACTTTTTATACGCGAAGTACATTCACCCAACACTGACAACTATATGTACGAAAATAATGTATGTCTACTGTCAAGTTAGTTGTAACTAACTAAATGAATGCGTATATGTGCTACTCTTGGAATGGTTGTTACGTACGGCGTATGACAAATATTCTTTCCTTGACAAGTCAATGAAACAAAGAAAAGAGAGTGATGAACTCTGTAAATCCATCTATATATGATTGACTGAATGTTGGATAATTTCATCATAAATGAAAAGGAGACTTGAGATAACTAACAGATTTGTTTTTACAGAAGGATGCTGAGAATGTGAACGGAGTATGTGAGTGGGCAATGACAAAATATTTTAAGGGAAACAAAAAGAACACTTGTACTTAGAATCAGGAAGAGAAAGAAATTTCTGTGGCACAATGAAGAAAGAGGGCTTAGAGAATTTGACACTCACAGGACATTAAATGCAAGAGAGGCAGAGGGAAACACTGAGTAACCTATCTAATGAGCTTCTTGTATAAGGAATCTTAGAGGAGAAGGATAGAAAAGTAAACGTTGATAAGAGTTACAAAAGGTCAGGAAGTTATGAAGAGACATGATCGCCCATGTCCTGAAGAGGCACGACACGTAAAAAAAAAGAAACAAAGAAAAAGTGTCGATTCAAAATAAAACTTTTATGACAGGTATGTAGTTATTGTGTAAGTCAGGTATTAGCGTGTTAATGTGTGTGTGTGTATCAACTCTACTATACAACATTGTGATGGGGTTTGTTTCGCTTAAGTTAATGAACCGAACCTCTGTGTGTTTGTGTGAGTGAAAACTTACATGTACTTTGATGTGAGCATCTTTACTTTTATGTATACATTCATCTGTAATATTGTCATGCTATGCGATGTGCGTATATAACAGTTCAATGAGTGAAACAGAAAAATGATTGAATAAAGTTTTAGTTAATGATAACGAAAAAAAAAATGATATAAAGACTTAAAAAGCGGAAGCCGATTTTTTTTATTTAATTAAGAAAAAAAAAAATTAAACTTAAAATATTTTTCAGGAGAAAGTTAGTACGTAATGAATAAAAAAGAAATGGATAAATTAATTAAGTCAGGTTTGATCGTAACACGTTAGTGTGCTTCTTACTTCTCTTAAGTTACTACAGTTCAAATGTTCAGTTGTTGAATGTTCAATCTTCTAAATAATTTTACTTGCTTTTAGTAACTTTTACTTTAAAAATTTTTTTCTTACTGTTTCTTAAACTTCATTTGACTTATTTCTATCGTTGTTATAGAGAGAAATGACTTTTTAGTTTTTACCGTTTATTGGAAACAATAAGTGAAATAAAAATATATAAAATAAATCTCTCTAAGACTGCAATGCAATAAAACTTAGAATTAAAAGCAAAACAAAACAAAAAACAATAACAAAACAAAAATCCAAAAAACATTGGGTTCGTGCACACGCGTGTGTAACGTATGTGTATGGAATGCATTACTATAAGAAAAATCCTAAGTGTTGTCCTTCACAGATCTTTAGACCGTGAGACACTGAAATATGCATCCAAAATCAGAAGGCTTTGGTTTCTTGTTCAAATTTTATAAATATGAAAAAATAAAATCATAATAATAATTATTATAATAAACAACTAAAAACTAAATTAATTTAAAAAAATATAAAGGACCAACCTTGTCTTTTACTTTTCATGAGGACCTTTTTTCTCTTCTACGTGATTTGTAGAGAAGTTGTAATAGCCAAATAAAAAGTTATACCTCATAGTTTAAATACAAATTAAATTGAATAAAATAAAATAAATTGAAAATAAAATTTTAAAAAGTTAAAAAAAAAGAAAGAAAGAATTAGAAAATTTACTTTTTGGCCTGTCACTTTGCTCGTAAGAGTTTTCTTAGTTAAATAGAGAATTAAAATAAAGACATTTAATCCCTTATAAAAAATGAATAATGGGGAAGAAATTTTGAAAAGATCGAAATTAGATATTGATAAAATAAAAATAGTTAAAAAAAAAAAAAAAAGTTAACCGAAAGAAAGGGTCGAACCCCTTTTCTGTGTTAGCCTGACACTTTCCGCCTATGAGTTAGAAACGTAAAACAACATAGCAACAAAGTAAAAAGAGGGACTAAGATCCTCATAAAAATGAAACAAATTGAATTAAAACTAAAACCAATACAAAAATTAAATTTAAAAAAATTAAATTAATATAATTAATAATAATATTATTATTATTAATATTATTATTATTATTATTATTAATAATAATAATAAAAACTTTTGAAAGAAAGAAAGGGTGGAACCTTACGTGTTTATCCAGAGACTTTTCCCCCCTTGTTTCCGGGAGGGGATCTACACTTATTTCCTTACTTCGGGCAACTACATCCAAGAAGTCTTTTGTAATAATTTGTATCCAGAACAAGCCCCATACATCTTGAAGAGTTGTGAGTTGTACACTGTACAGAAATTCTCCTCCTTCCTTGTACTCTAGTCGGACTAGTAGTAGCAGCAGCAGCAGCTGTGTAGTAGTAACAGCAGTAGTTGAGTTTTAACTTATGGAATTTTGGTATAAACTACCCCTCCTTTCTAGTAGGCACCGTCAAGATGTTTGATCTCTCTCTACTATCGCCTATTATTTATCTTTTATTTAAAAAAAAAATACTAATATAACTATTTACTGAATTCGTCCATCCAAACAAGCACTTGTCCGTAGACTTCACATATCCAAACAGTAGTACCACGCTAACAAAACAACCTTACCTACATTTCTGTTTAGTGGTTTTATAATTGTAATAGTAGTAATAGTATTAACAGCAACCCCGGACATTGCTTATAACGATAGTAGTAATGAAAGTAGCAGCAAACCCATGGATTTTAGTATCTCCTACTCCGTCATCATCATGTCACACATGTGTTTTTACCCTTTTTTTTTTTCCACATGTGTCCCTAGTGTATTCTTCCGTATTTTCTTCTGTCCATCTATTAATTATTCGTTTTTGATTTTCTTTTCGTTTCCAACTTCTTCGATTTTTAACCACACTGCGATCAATTCGGGTTACTCATTCTCTTTTTCACTTAATTCCCTATTTTGTCTAATTATTGTCCATAATTTAAAATTTTTCTTCTTTTCCTCAATATGGTATCTTTTTTTTTCTTTCATGGTCTCTGACAATATCCCTAATTAATAGCTCTCATCATCTTTGTCTCAGAAAGTGTCCTCAGTCTCAGTATCTTTCGCAAGCTCTCTCGTAAAAAGAGAAACTTTCTCTCCAAGATGGTCTTTTTAGTAGATTGTGGTGCACCACTGTATTTCGGAAAAGATTCTTCTTACCACCTTCTTCGATCTCTGCGGCAGAAAGTGGCCCTAGTATGGCCCCGCATGTATGTCCGGGAAGTTATCCCAGGTATTCCGCTCGTATTGTCGCTCGTATCCCGCTCCGGCCGCATCTCGGAGGCTGTTGTCGCTCGTATCCCGCTCCGGCCGCATTTCGGAGGCTGTTGTCGCTCGTATCCCGCTCCGGCCGCATCTCAGAGGCTGTTGCCGCTCGTATCCCGCTCCGGCCGCATCTCGGAGGCTGTTGCCGCTCGTATCCCGCTCCGGCCGCATCCCGGAGGCTGTTGCCGCTCGTATCCCGCTCCGGCCACATCTCGGAGGCTGTTGCCGCTCGTATCCCGCTCCGGCCGCATCTCGGAGGCTGTTGCCGCTCGTTTCCCGCAACTCGTGTTCGCCGATGTGAAAGTCATTTACACACTGCGCATATCTTGGCGGTTGTGACCCGCATCCCGCCCAATCGATGTCTCTGTTTTTGTGACCCGCATCCTGTTCGAGCGGCGTCTTTATTTTTGTGACCCGCATCCCGCTCAGTTGACGTCTCTGCTTTTGTAAACCGCATACCGCCCGATCGGCATCTATGCTTTTGTGACTCGCATCATGATCAATCGATGTCCCTAAGCTTGTGACTTGAATCCCGTTTGATCAGTGTCCGTTTGTGACCGACCCACATTCAACTCGATCGGCGTAAAAGCTTGTGACCCGCATCCCAATTAATCGGCGCCTCTGCTTGTGGTCCTTCTCCTGCTCGATCGGCGTCTTTGCGTTTGTGACCCGTATCTCGCATGATCTGCGTCTTGGGGCTTGTGACACGCATGCCGCTAGATCGGCGTCTCTGCATTCGTGATGCAAATTCTGCTCGATCGGCATATCGGGGGTTGTCTCGCAGCCACATCCCGGTCGGTCTGCGCCTCTGAGTTTGTGACCTGCATCTCGCGAATTGTGAGCCGCATCCTGTTCGATCGGCTCCCCTGCATTTGTGACCCGGCTCAATTAGCATATGGGATGTTGTGAGCCGCATCCAACATGATCGGTGTCTCTGGGATTGTGCCCAGCATCTTTCATGATCTGCGACTTGTGGGGGTTGTTACTCGCACCCTGCTTAATCGGCGCGTCTGCTTTTGTGGCCCGGATCCCGCTCGATCAGCGCGTCTGCTTTTGTGGCCCGCATCCCGCTCGATCGGCGCGTCTGTTTTTGTGACCCGCATCCCGCTCGATCGGCGCGTCTGTTTTTGTGACCCGCATCCCGCTCGATCGGCGTGTCTGTTTTTG